ACTGATACCAAAAATGTAGTAATAAACGTACGAGGAACCATTGGCTCTTCACTGCACCAATGCCAAAACTACGTAGCAGTTGATTTGTTTCTTGCTACACCTACGCCAATTTTGTGTAGCCAGTGGTTGGTTTGCCTCTGGCACACCCACGCAAAAGAGGTGTGAGTGATTAGGCCTGCAATCGAACCGAACACGAACAAATAGGCCCGTTCAAAATCATTCGATTTCGTTGTTCGAACTCGAACGACACAAGATGTGTGTTCGTGTTCGTTCGTTAACCCGTAACTGTTCGTGTTCGTTCGATTAACTCGTAAATACCTGTTTGAAAACTCATTCGTGTTCGTTCGTAAATCATTCGTGTCGTCGTAACTCGTTCGTGTTCATTCGACTAACTCGTAAATACTTGTTCGAATAACTCGTTCGAATACCTGTTCGAATAAAAAATATACACTAACTTTCCAATTCATGCTATAAAAACAAATTGCACAATTTAATTATACCCTTAATTCAATATTTGAAAATAACTAACTCTCATATATATTTATATTTTAAATAAATCAATAAAAAACTCAGTAAATAAAATAGTTAACCATCATAAAAATAAAACTTCAAATAAATTAAACAGAACATAAATCTAGAATCGTTCAAATAAATGTGGGTTTGGACTTTGGTTTTTAAAATTTGGGCTGGGAAAATGTGGGTTTTGACTTTGGACTTTGGATATATATATTTATATATATATATTATATATATATATATATTATATATATATATATATGATATAATGTAAATGTGTATGTACAAAATATTATCATACATATATTAATCAAAATAAATATGTTAATATGTTATGAAATTATCAAAATTATAGGTTATCACATAAATATCTAAATATTTTAATGTTAATATGATTTTGTATCAACACACAAAAAGCATAGTAAAATAAAGTCTATTATAATATATGATCAATACCTAGTGTGATTATTTTTATATATAATGGTAATTGTGATATACAAATATTATCATACATATATTAATCATAGGTTAAATATATTATGAATTACCAAAATAAAGATTAATATATTTTTATCATTATATAATTATCATAAATATTTAAATGTTTAATATATATTTTGTATCAACACCCATAAATTTATAGTGGAAATAAAGTCTATGTAATATATGATCATAAATATGTGATTAATTTGTTATAGATATATAATAGATATATATATATTTTATATCATATTGTATAGTATATATGTTGTATCACTACCTATAATCATAAGTGGTATGAGAGTTTATTGTAATATATGATTAATACAAATGTGTGATAATTTAGGTTTAATTAAACTTTATATTATTAATTGTTATGTTATACATCACTTAGATACAATATGTATGTTTATCAAATGTACTATCTAATTTATTATTAGACTAAATGCTATTTGATAATATGTAATTAGTGTTTAATATCGTGTTAATTATTAATGAGAGTCAGTGTTGTTATTTGAATCTCGTTTTTAGTATTTTTGTAAATTAATGATGGTATTTTTATTTTGTTGAACATTAATTATTTGATTTTGTTATATATATCAGATATCGTTGTTCCATTGTTGTTTCTACCGAGAAAAATTGATTTTTCTGTTCAGCAAATATAAACTTTTTTAGTATTAATCATTTAATGTTAAGTATTAATTTATCTTAAATGTAAATAGTTTGCATTCATGTATATCTCTACGTAGGTATATTAAGTATTTGATACATTCGATTTGTACGAATCTTTTTAAATTCATATAAATTAATGCATTGAATGATATTTTATGCATTGTACATGGATTATGTGGATATCTTATGCAGGTGTGCTGATGCTCTGAAACTTCTATGAGATAATTGGGCAATTGGTCAAATGAAAGAGGGTGTCTCCGCTGTAAGAAGATGGGAGGACCTAGATACTGACATATTGGTGAAAATCTTCCTATCTTTTGATGTCTTCCAGTTGACTTTAGGGATTGCTCACGTTTGTAATTCATTGCGTATAGCTTGCTATGATCCTCTGCTTTGGAAAACTTTTGATTTGTCAATGTTGAGATCAAATTTCATCAAAATCCCATTAGAGCCATATGTTTATGTGGATGAGTGTTCTGATAAGACATTGACGGGTTTGTTGAAGATTTCGTTGAGTCTCAACCGGGGATACATAAGAACCTTGATTTTTCACTTCAATTTGTATGTAGGGGACGGACAATTTACTTATATTGCTAAAAGGTAATTTTTTTATGTTTCTGTTTAAAACCTTGCTGAAAGGTTTTTTTTAATTCTTGCTGTTTATTGACTGAGTCTTTGGCATTGCCTTTGGTACCAATGATCATCATCTTTAATTTTTTTTTGGTACAATGAATTGGGAAGTAAGTCAATCGCTATCCTGTCTTGAAGAAAAATTATGCATCCTTTTTGCTTCTGTGTCTTGCTAGCACTTGAGACTGCAAGTCGATCGTCATCCTGTCTTCGTGTGGATACTGAGAGTTCTCTTATCTTAGAGTGGGACCGATTCGTATCGATTGAAGGAGCCTCCAAACGCAAGTATGAAATCTGGAAATTTTATATTCAATATCTGTTCATATGTAAATTACGTAAATTGGGTATAAGGTTCTTGGGTTCAATGTTGTTGTTGGGGATTTTATTTTTGTTTTCCGCTACATAAACCCCATCATCGACTAACAGTGGTGTCAGAGCCTTCCTTATACCTTTTACGTTATTATTCGACGTTTGGTTGAATTGATTTTGATATGTATTGATTATGTTATTGCATGATGTGTAAAAACTGATTTTTTGTGTGTTAAAAATCTATTGCTGCTTCACAGTTTGCATGCGACTGTTGCATGTTGTCGCACGGGGAGGAGTGCTGGCCACATGCTCCAGCATGTGGCCTTGGGCTGTACCGCCGCAAATGGCACAGCAGTAGCCTTGTGCGACTACACCAAGGCTACTGTCGCATGCAGCAGTGGCGCATGTGAATGCGCCGCTACTGTCCTCTTGATTGGATGCTGTTTTGGGGCTGCCCCATGGTGGCCAAGTGCTCGGTTGGCACTTGGTTTTTCAACCAAGGGCCTGATCTGGTGTGCGTTAAAACGTGCACCAAATCTGGATTTTTTTTTTTTGGGCAGCCCACGTAAAGATGCAATGGATTGAATTTTGGGCTGTGATCGCATTGTTGTGTGATATTTTTAATCCATAATTTTCTAAAAAATGTTGCTGCATGTTAGAAACATTCTAGAGGCCCAATTGAGTGAGGCTCGATAACAAAGGACTAAAATGAAAATTTTAAAACTTGTTGGACTTGAAACAAACACTGCCAAAATTCAAGGTAACTTGTAATTTACCAACCTAATCAAAATTAAATTTTGATGTTTATGCATGATTCTTGTTTGTGAATATGCATGGTGCTTGGTGCATAAGCCTACGAACCTAGTTTAATTGTTTTGGGTTATGTAATTTAAAATAGGGTCTACGTGCCCTGCCTTTCTCTAAACCTCCAATGTAACTTCTTTCTCTTATCTCACTCCCCTCGAATGTAACTTGAGGTTTCTTTTCAATAATGTAAAATGTAATTTTATTTTTGAAAGTTGTGTAATGTTCGAGAAGAAGAAGCGATGGAAGGGAAGGAGGCAAAATTACTTGAAGAATCCATTTCCTTTTAAACCTAGGTTGACCTATCGATTCCTCTTGACTTGAGGAAATAGGTTTTAGTTAAGGCTAAGCACCAACACGTTTATTTTATGCTTAGTATGCATGCTAAGGGTGTATGTTATGACTATAACATGCTAAGAAAGATAAAATTGGTGAGACATAAAATAAAACCCCTCAACTAAAGTATATTAAGTCAAAATTGAAATGCCTTCCATCACCATGTCTTTAATCAAACTACTGTTCATTGAAACCTTGTTCATCAAAGCGAAAGGTACACTTCTACCAGTGGGAGGTTAAAGTTCATTGGAGTTTTCCTTAATGATGATGGGTTAACTTAAAATGATGTGTTTTGCTTGTTCGCTAAAGCAAATGTTGATAAACATGTCACAGGCATAGTAGAGAAGTACACCTGTTATGTATACGTGGCGGCATGTAGTGTCCACTCTACTGATAATGAGAATCACACTAGAGGACAATAGCTTTGGTCATCGTATTGTGTGATTGGCTTGTTAGATTGTTTCACATTTGAGGTTCGTAGTGGGAGCTATCAACTGATGTGGATTAAGTTTGTTGGCCTACCTAATCACTTGGTCGCCAAAGCGAAGATTTGAAATGGGCTAGATGGGATCTCAATCCACTAGGAAAGCCAACGGGCTTTCCCGAGTTAATAGTGAGTGCTATAGGCTTGAGGAAAATAGTGGGAGCGTTTTTAATAAAAGACCATATCAAAATAATAATAAACTTTATATTGACTTTACTTTTATGTATTGGAGATTCATTTAAAAATGAGCAATATCAACCTATGATTGATAATCGAGAAAGAAAATAGGCTGGATGGATCTAATTTCTTGGACTGGTATCAAAATCTTCAGATTGTACTAAAGTCCAAAAAGAAATTATATATCCTTGACAAGCCTCATTTGGCTGAGCCTGATCTTGATGCCACTTAGGAAGTAAAGGAAACTTACCAAAGGTTCTTTGACGATGTTGAGACTATTCAATGCCTTATGTTAGCATCGATGACACCTGAGCTGCAAAAGCAACATGAGAATATGGACGCTGCTGCCATAATTCTGCACCTTAAGGAGTTTTTTGAAGGAAACGATTGACATGCGAGGTACAAGGTGTCGAGTGCGTTGTTTAAAAGTCGTATGACCGAGGGAGCCCAAGTTGGTCTTCATGTGCTCAAGATGATTGGGTACATAAAGAGGCTTGAGACTTTAGGATTTAGGTTGGATGCAAAATTACAAATGGATTTAATTCTACAATCCTTACCCAAATGCAAAACAAACCAAATTTCAAACTAATACCTGTTGGAATATGGAGTGGATAATCTCTTGTGAGGGCATTTTTCATTATCCTAGAGTCAGAAGCAGTTCCTTCCCACCCAGTCAACACATAGGTGAATTTCAAGTCAAATTTGCAAGCATCCAAAACATTCATAGTTGGATATTCCTTCCTACCACGGTACCTAGCAGCATGTACAACTGGTACTTTAACACGAATATGCGTGCCATCTATTGCCCTAACACAATCCTATCATTATTTATCCAATTAGGTAAAAGTACTAGTCTAAGTATTTAAGGTGTTATGTTTGCGTTGTATACCTTAAAGTATGGATAGAATCTACTATGGTTTTGTATTTCAAGTGGCACTTGGAGTCCATTTGGTTGTAAGAGGTATTTATCCTCTAACTCTATGATTGCTTCCAACACTTTATGAAAGTGATGACTAACCATCTCACCGGAGCGATGGAAAAGCAATGAACATGCAATATGCCTAGTGTCTTGACCTATAATCCAAAGGAATTTAGCAACTTGTTCCTCAACTGTAGCTCGTTGAGTTGAATGAAGCCCCCCTTCCGTTGCTAAAATTCGACAAAATTCTACAAATGTTGCGGGACCCATTCGAATCAAATGTCTACCACTTGGTCCAGCAATACGTTGCATTATTTCATCCCGAATTCGCTCACTTTGCAAGCGTATTGCATGATTAATTCTACTCAAACGTGAAGTAGTTCGTGCTGTGGGTTGTTGTGCTAAAACACATCCAACTAGTAGTAGAAACATCATATGAATATGATGTATACAAATGATAGCGTACATGATCAAATCATCATTATTTAAGTCATCATAGTCAGCTATCTAATAAATAAGAATGAGCACACAACAAAAGAGTTATTATCAAATTAAACGATTAAAAGAACAAAAAGTATAACAATATAATGTCACATATGAAACAACTTTCCTGCTGAAGTTGGCTAAATCTCAATGGCCAGAGGCATCACACAGTTTTTACACCATTGCAAAAACTTTACTATGACTTGTCTTGTGTCAATTCTTTTTCAAAAGCTAATTTGCAGATAAAGTGTGAGAGAATAAAAACTGGGTCAATCAGTTTTTTTTCTATTTTTTTTTGGGTGCACTAATTGGTGTTGAAGCAAAGAAGACATCAGTTCATGGTATTAATCATGCTAGCCACCATATGGGCCTCACTTAGCTATCTGTAAGCTTGATTGACAAACCAACCCAAAATCTTAAATTTTAGATGCACTGCCCAGAAAGTATATGAAGTAATATCAAACTCATAATCTTAATCAATGTGGGTCAGGACACAACCCTTCATACATGTAAGACTAACAACAGTATAGGCCTAACATCTGAGTCTGAGAATATCTATTACTATTATTTTATTTTATAATTTTGCTGGGACTGAATCTAAGGATATTAAAAAGATGGATCCACAAAACAAACCTAACATAAAAAATAAAAAACCCTAAGAAAATTTTTAGTTCAATTTTTATTGTGAGAAACTTCAGATCTACTGTTTTTATGGGTGAACTGACTCAGTTCAGTTCAATTTATGCTTCAGCAATTATTGAACCATTCAAACCAAGCTGAATAGCTTTATTCAATTTTTGGTCTGTTTATTTAAAAGAAAAGTATGTTTCAAGTGAAAATAAGAACCACCATAATCACAACATAATGTTGATCCCAAAAAGGATATAATCTTGTAAAGGAGAAAAGATTTCATCAGAGTAAATGAATAAACAGCAACAATGTCCTAAATCTGCATTAAAGGAGGTTACTAACAGATTCAAGGAAGGATTAACACATTTCAAAAACTGCTTGAATCTCTGTATTTTTAGTCAAAGGGTATAGAGGCTCCTAAATTTATCCTATATTTGACCTTATCGATCCATTATTACACTAGGATGCCTGGTATATATATATAATACTTTGGGTGAACATCTGAAGAGAGAGCTTTGTGGTATGCCTATATTTGTCATATGGTCTTTTATCTTCATTTGCTATTTTGGGCATGTGGCTGATTATTCAAACAAGAGCCAGCCAATTTGATAGATGGGCAAACTATGATTTTGTTTCTTACAGGAAAAAGAAAAGTTGTTATTACGTTATTTTCACGCTTTCGGGTTGTTTGATTTAAGAATGAGAGATCAACAGGTTTTGGGATTTCTGGAGGATGAGTGCTGCGAATCAATGCTCAATTAACACTTTCAAAGAAAAGATGTTTAATCTATGTGGCACCTCTTTTGAATCCTAATCTTTTGTGGGTCCTTAACAAGTAGACCTCGGATCAAATCCTTAGCAGCAAAACTGACAGAAGATCCATTCGAAAATTTTATGGGCTGACCTACAACATTGAATAATGTTTCCCGGTTTCCACTACCTTTAAATGGAGTCCTACCAAGCAGTAATTCATACAAGAAAATACCAAACGTCTACCAATCAACAGCACTACCCATGACCATCTCCTCTTATTATCAAAGAAAAGCTAGTGAAATAAAGAATCGACTCATAAACAGGCATCAAAATCCAATCATGACAATCACATTCAACAGAAGCAAAAGTGACGAATGATCAATCATGCAAATACATTGACAAATCCATAAAAGAAGCAAGAACCCAGATGGGAAATTACCTTATCTCGTGTAATTATTCTCTTGGTTGACGTCTAATTTGCTGAAAGTGAGGAGAATCTAATACAAACCCAAACGAGTTATGTGCGGCAAAGGGATTTGTGTGCAGCAAATTAAAACCATTCGTGTGCAGCAAATTAAAACCATTCGTGTGCAGCAGCAAGAGAATTGTGTGCTAGAGAAGAGTGAACAACAGCGACAGATTTGTAAGGGAGTAGAAAGGGGTTTTTTGGGGATAATTAAAAGTTTTAAACCAGTGAAAACACTCCGATTTAGGGTGTTTTTATAAACACCTCAAAAATACACTACACTGGTTTTGGGGGGTTTTTAAACCAGTCAAAACCAACTTATTAAAAATCTGGCAAGTAGGGTTTTTAAACACCTCAAAACCAGTTTAATTAAAAACCCCCCAAAACCAGTGAAAAAAACTTCCAAGCAGACCCTAACTCTATCGAGATTAACAAAGTATGAAGAGCTTGGAAAATGACATATACGATCCCTCAATGTCATTATTTCCATACAACAATAGTACAACACGACGGCAAATACGGCGGCAAGAGACTTTGTTTGTATTATGTTACACTCTTGCTCAATTCATCACCCACCTTATTATATGTATAAATTTACACATGTATCCCTTTATCAATATATCACTATTATTGGAGCTTTCCAAGCATTACCTCATATTTATTAAATAGCCATTCCTGGTTTATAAACTTATACAGCATCACAAAAATGGAGTTGTTCGTTGACTTGAGATTTCTCTTCCCGCCATTGATAAATCTCTTCATCCCTCTCTTGTTAGCATCCCCCGGCAGTGCTCCGTTGGATCAGCACCCCACTTTAAAATTTATAGTCCTGATTCTTTTGATTCTATTACTAGTTTTTTTCCTCTTAACATCCATCAAACTTCATGTCATGACTGCCAATTCGGTCACCGTTCGATCTGGGTATTTTTCTGCTCCTTTGAGTTTGACTTTGCTTGCTTCAATCTTCTTGTCACCACCACTCTTCTGGGCTGTATATTCCATCATCATAATCACATCTCCCTTGCATGGGATAATATGGAATTTGTTGAAGTTCAATTTCAACTGGCTTGTTGCCACCCCGAGGTCAAATTTTCTTCCCACTGTGATCACTTGCACCCAACAACAAGTGGACCTGTACAATTGTCCTGATTTGGAACCAGATCTTGAAGTTGTGATTGCCAATGATTGAGACATGCATGGCGTTGAGATTTTGGTGGCTCTGGCCAGTTCCCCTATGTATTTTATGTGTAACAGTGAAAGATAAGGACTAGTCTTACTCTAAAAATTATTGAAACCACCAAGTTTATATACTTATAATAGGTCTATATGGGATTTTGAGAATAGTAAAACATACACCCCTGAAAAAATTCATTTTGCCCCTCCTAATAGCAAAAAGGAGTTTCAAATTTCAAGGAGGTATTTAATTATTTCTCAAAGTTGATGGACTTCCTGGATATTTAGTCCAAGCAGCAAAAGGGTCAATTGTGTTCTAAGAGATGATTATGTATTATGCTTTCAATTGTGTAACATTTCCTGTGGTACTGTAAATAAGTTAATAAGCTCTTGCCCTTAGTTTTGCGGGCAATAACTAATAAGGTTACATCTTTTATACAACTTAAGATTTAATTATTATATAGATGATGAGTATATATTTAAGAAATTAACCATCTTCTATGACAAATTTACTTTCCTGTTCAAAAAGTGTACCAACTAATCTAGAGTTAGCTCATATTTTCCTTTAGTTAATAACATCAGAACCGGTTTATTAATTTGATTAGTAATAGTCAAGGCTGTATAGTTTATAGAACCATCCAGGAAATTGAGATGAATTGAGTTTTTAAGCAGTTGCCAATTGCCATTCGGCAATGGTCCATTTNCTGTATTACCATCTGAAAAAACTGTAAAGATTTCCCAAAAACACCACAAAGATACAAAGCAACTCACATTTGAAAGAAAAAATAAAATAATCCCATATGAATGCACATTGACCTCTTAAATAAGAAATTAAAGCAATATGAAATAACTTTTGCATATCATACCTCACCACAAGTTTGGAAAGTCCAACATATATGGCCGTTTGATAAATCCATAAAATATATTTTTCCTTTGTAGCATCCAACAACAACCTAGTACCACCACATATGAAAAATATTAACAGCCCTTGTAATGCCTGGCAAAAAATGGGAACAACATGACAAAGCACACACAATAATTTGAACAACCTGAGAAAAGTCACCAACAATTGCTGCCGGACATTCAACTCGACCTTCTAGTTTGATTTCCCATTGGACAGAACCACTAATCCAGATATGTGATAATACAATACTCAAGTTAGAAGATGAAGATCATGCTCAAATGCTTGAAACATACCATGCCTGATGCCTTGTTAGAAATAAATTAGTTTCCTTAACTGAAACATGAATGAAAATCTCTTGCCCACCTTAATCTAAATGAATATTAATCCTTCCCTTTTTTCATGATGAAAACTTTGATAACCAGTATCAATGTAAAACTTGCAAGCTTGTATAAATGTCAGACAAGCAACCTCAGGCATATTATACATAACCAATTATGTTTACGGCAATCTACAAAAAGTATATACACAGGATACTGTGGATGTCATATCAAACACAAATCTAAGCTTGGCCCTCTACTTATGAAAGCATACAAAATAAACACAGAAGAAAATTTATATCTTAAAAGATTTCAAGAATAAAGTAGAAACAACAAACTGACACTTTGTATGACCATTTGACACATTATCCTGTATAGATATGGTATAGGTTGAACCAAATTCTCGACAAAGTCCATATGGCGAAAAATTCTGAAGCAGAAAGCAATTTCAAGTGTCTATGATAGAGGTGATAATAAGTGGAAATTGCGAACCAATGAAACACTTACATTGGGACATCATGGGTTGATCATATTCAATTTTGAGTACATAGATGTTAACATAATTTTGCTATCAACCTTTTCCCATAACTTGTTAGATTAAAAATAATTAACAGTCTAGGGTTTTTATTTCAAGTATTTAAACAACTGGTTTGAGTTTTGTCAAATATTCGACCCAGTTACAAGTGTTTATATGTAAAAATATTAGCTTTCATAATTTTTGTAACAGAATTAATACATATGTTTAGATGTTATCCAGTAAAAACAAACATATCATTCAAATTTATACATTAAAAGATATTCTAACTACAGTCAAATCCTAAACTATTCATTTCAGACAAAAGAATATACACTACCTTAGATTTTTAAGTTTACATCAACCATATACATCAATAATTATAAGAAACGGAGAGAGCGAATCCAGAATAACTATCATTGACAGAGCAATCAAATCATGATTCAACCACCACAACTACGCATGACAGAGAAATGAAGAATTATATCTATTATAATAGTAATTATAGCAATAAAAATGCATCTTTTAGAAGTATATAAACTACATAATTTGATTTGCAAAGGCTACAGAATGGCGCTTACCTTTTAGCATTAATACAAAGAAATTTGTGTGAGTGGGACCCAACAAAGAGATAAATATCTGAATCTTTAAGGACAACAACTGGAGATGCATCAACACAAGACTCCAAGTGAACTTTCCACAATTCTTGCATATAAACTTTTCTCTCTCTTGGAACTTCAACTGAACAGGTTACTTGACAAGTATGATTACCCCTATACTTCTCGTCATACATAACCTTGTTGCAACGACTGAATGAACATGGCACGGGTGGTGATGGCGCATTCCATGAAAACCCATCCTTTTGACCAGTAAACTTTGGAGTGACATCTTTATTTGAATCCACTTTCAAATGTTTTAAGGGTATAACTTTTACATCTTCATTATATGAAGCCGTCAACAACCCTCGTGTAAGTATATCATCATTTGAGTAATAAAATGAATGAAATGCATTCCCCACATCAGCTTCTTGATCCACCTTGCAATTAGCATCTGCTCTAACATCTACATTAAATGACCCCCTTTTCTCAAGAAGAGCAATATGAAGCTTGGATGGAGTTGGAAAGGTGTAAACCATCCTCATATTTATCCCTAAACTATGAGCAACATGTGCTGCAGCAACGGAATCACCACCCACAATAAAAAAATTATCACTGTTGGAAACCTCTTCGATCATCAAAGCATCAGCAAAGGCCTTTCAGAAAAAATTCTAAATGAGTTAGTTTCACTTCTGTGACGATACAACGCAGATAACATGGGTTTGATCATAAATAAAGGTGGGGGAAGGGAAAAAAAAAATTAGCACTATAGACAGCAAACCTTTTTGATAACTTTCAAAAGGTCATCAGTCTTGGTCTCACTGATGATATCATGAGCAGACCCAGTGACATTTATACTCGCTAACGATGCATAATCAACTTTTCCATTAGAAGACATAGGCAATGACTCCATAATGACGAAGCGGCTAGGAATCATTGCTAAAGGAAGTCTGTTGATCATCCAACTTTTTATAGATTCTATACATATTTCCCCAGATTTATCCTTCTCTTGTAACAATATAAATGCTTGAAGGAGTGCAGGCTCCCCCTGAACATTGCGAGATATCACAGCAGCATCAACTACGTCTGGATGTTCCCTTAGTGTATATTCAATCTCCTCTAAAGCCATACGTTGCCCGTTAACCTTTACAGTGCGATCTTTTCTACCCAAGAAAACCAAGTCACCACTTTGAAGTCTTTGGGCAAAATCACCAGTTCTGAAGTACAGTACGCTTCCACAGTTGACAGAATAGTTACAAATCGATTTCTTATGTAGCTTGACAAACTCTGAAGACATAGAAGTTGATTCAGAAAAGTATCCGCTAGAAACGCAGAGACCACCAACATATATTTCTCCGTGATTAGGTGTATCAGTATCACTTTCAACAAGCACTACATTGCAATTTGAAATAGGGATACCAATTGGTACACTTGTAAGTGTCTCTGTCTCCAAAATCGTTGGCAAATTCTTGCAATCAAAATATGTGCAGTCTCCAGATACCTAAATAAAGCTAAATCATGTTAACTAAACAATAAAAGCTAAATTACAATATGTGCAACCACAGAAGCACATGGTTGCAACATCTTTCTCAAGACCTTAGTTGAAACAACCAGTATTCGCATTAAGAACTCATATGAAACAAACAAAATAAAAGAAAAAGAAGAAAGCAACAAATAAGAAGAATTGCACTATATTTGATACAAGAAGAATTATGGTATCCATACAAGGACTGAATGCACAATCATATAATAAATGATAAATGAATAAGATAGATGTGATTATGATTCAAGAATACTGAAATCGTTATTAGACTTTCAGATCAAAAAACATTTACTCAATAAGTTTTCTTGGAACTCTAAAATCAGATTACCAATAACTAACCTCTGTACTCCCATATAAATTCAGGATAGAGAGATTCGGAAGTAACGTGGAAAGCATATTCCACAAGGATAAAGGTAGAACTTCACCACTGAGCACTAACAATTTTAATGAATGTAGAATCAAGTTATGTTGACTTTGCAAAGAAGGAAGTATTGCCCTTAGCACTGACGGAACAGTGGTAAGCCTACAAATAGAATAAGCCTACAAAAGTAGACTCAATAATAAACATTAGCAATAGAATCAAAACATCAATAGAAGAATCTGTCACTAGAAAGTAATATAGGAGCAATTGCATTCTTGCATACAAAAGTAAACAACAAAAGATTAACACTCATATGGATAAACCATTATCACAGTCAAGTTACTACATGCAAACTTATCTTTTCATACAATAAATATCTTATTTCGAAATTTTAAGACTTCCACCTTCACACAAAATTTCTAATTTGAGGTGCATGTACAATCTAGCTACAATAGTTGTTGTATTTATGCTAAAAGATGGCATCCCAACTTTGAATACATAACACTACCATAAATAACATAGGACAAAGAACAAAAGTGCATTAAGTGTACCTGTAAATAATGGATGATAGAAAACAAATTCGTTTTGAGCTCCATAGTGGGAGGTATAACAAGAGAACAAGCGGTAAGAATAGCACTAAGAAATTCTTGTAAGTGATCAACAAAGCTAATTGACGTCTTGAACAATAAAACTTCCTCTCCATTCAGGGGATACAAATCTTGCATCCATAAAAACCTGTTTAAAAGACCTTAAAAACACAAATAAAAGAGATAGCATCATCAAATAACGGAAGAAAAATAAAATTTGAGTGGTGCTGCATGTACAAACTTAGTATACAAACTGATGCAGCATACCTCATTGATGGCTACATCATTCATCAATGTTTCTTGAGTTTTTACATGCATTCATTTATTCACTTTACAACTTATCAGTTTGTATAGATTAGTTTGTACAAAGAGTTTGTATACGTAGTATTATTCATAAAATTATCAATAACTCTAACCGTTTACCTTGCTCAGTGCCACATACGCCTTTAGGCGTTCCCGTGGAACCTGAGGTGTACATCAAATAACAGAACAATCTCTGCCTCTGGCTTTGACAATGCCAAACATAATTTAATTCCGATGGCCCAATTGTCTCTGAAACACTCTGTTCCATGGAAAAACACAACACAGGACAAATCCCACATTTTACAAGCCAATGTGATTCATGAAGCAGCTCACCAAACGAAGACCCACATGCAATAACAAGACGAACATTGGAAGAGGAAATAATTGACATTATTCTATGTCGTGGCCATGAATGATCCAGAGGCAAAAAAGCCTCCCCAATTCTCAAAATCGAAAGAACAGAAATTATGTACTCCACCGATGGTGTCATATATAACCCAATAATTTTTGGCGTATACAGCATATCATTCTTCATCAACTCAGCCTCTAAATTATTGCCTGCAAATTAAGCCAAGATAATCAATTAGAATCAAAAAGAAAAAATAACAGTCGCAAAGCAATGTGATAATTTAAGAAAATAACCATCAAGAATGCGACGAAGGCGAGAGCTCAAGGAATCAATCGACGCCAACAACTGACCAAAAGTGAAAAAAAGGTCTCCTTCGTAAGGATATTGTTTGGTTTTTATCAATTTTTTCCCGGAAGAAGATGCGTGAATCACAGCAATTTTGTTGGGGTTTTCTTTTACTGCTCTCAGAAACTCGTGTGATATGCAGCAGTGGGGCTGATTATCGGTCATTTCAACTCAGTTTTTTTCCTTTTCTTCCAAGTGATCATGAAAACCGTAATAAGAAACTGCTTTTTGACAACAAACTCGAATGTAATGGGCAATGCTAGCGATATGTTTCTTGCCAAAACAGTTACTAGCCGATTAAAATCTTGTGAGAAATTAGGAGAAATAACCCTTTTGAAATTTAACTTAGGGTGTGATTGGAGGAATGTTACGAGTAATATTAGCCAAAGAGGTATATAAAGAAGCATACAAAGATAAATTATTATAAAATCTTTCGAGTGCATTTGGTTCAGAAAATATTATATTACGGGATAATGTTGTATTACTAAAAAGATAGATTATCAGAAAATCTTTAGAAAAATATGTTTGATTGGTTGAAATAAATTGGTGAGTATGTTATAATAATATGTTTGGTTGGAAGGATAAATGAGTGGGTATGTAATATAGATTACTAAATTACCTTTTTTTTTAAATAATAATATAATATTATTATTATTTTATTCTATTATTTTTTAAACTATTTCTTTTAACCTCTTATATTTGAAATTTTGTTAAAACACCCTAACCATATAAAACTTTAATTTATAGCAAAATCACCCACACCCACCCTAAGCCATTACCAACAACCAGCCACCACCATCGTTAGCCGCCGTAATGGCGCACGACCGGCCTACGGTGGCTACCAACCGGATCTGACTGGTCGTGTGCTGGTAAGGCCTAATCCGACCATGGAACAAAGATTCATGGCCAAAAACGGCTAGATCTGGTCATGAATATGGTTATTTCACGGCCAAAGATTTGACCGTGAAACGGCCATAGGTCTGGCCATGAGAATGCCAAAGATCTAGCCTTTTCACGACTAGAACTATGGCGTTTCACGACCACATCTTTGGTCGTGAAACGGCCAGATCTGGTCGTTTCTGGCCATGGATCACAAATCCATGGCCAGAAACGTCTTTACCGGCACACGATCGGCAAGATCTCGCCGATCTTGCCTCGATATGATGACTTTCGCCAGTGTCCAGCAGTGGTGGCTAGCGGCTGAGGGTGGTCTTGGGTGGCTAGAGGTATTTTGTTAACTTTTAAACTTTTTGTAGTTAGTGTGTTTTAGCTATATTTTCAAATGTAGAGGGTCTGGGTAACTGTTATTTGGTAGACATATGAGGGCAAATGTGTCCGAAATGATAAAAGATTAAGGGCAAAATGGGGTCAAAATTAAGATTACCTCGATAATCTTATATTAACACCCATTGAGAAGGTAATTTGATTACCCTCAATATTACCAACAATAAACACTATATACAATAAAAGATTACGTAATATTTTATTACTTGACAATCAAACGAAGGAATCTTGAAAATTAAACAAAGATTACAAGATTAATCTTATATCACCCCGAACCAAACGCAACCTTAGAGAAATGTATTTGATTGGTTGGAATAAATTGATGGGTATGTTATAATAATATGTTTGGTTGGAAGGATAAATGAGTGGGTATGTTATATAAATTACTAAATTGTCCTCCTTTTTAAATAATAATATAATATTTTTTATTATTATTTTATTCTAATATTTTTTAAATTATTTTTTTTAACCCTCTATATTTGAAATTTTGTAAAAACACCCTAGCCATATAAAACTTTAATTTACAACAAAATCACCCCTGCCCACCCCAAGCTACTGCGGGCAACCAGCCACCACTGCCGTAATGGCGCACGACCAACCAGATTTGGCTGGTTGTGCGCCAGAAAGGCCTAATCCGGCCATAATTCAAAGATCCATGTCAAAAAAGGCTAGATCTGGCCATGAATATGGTCGTTTCACGGCCACATCTTTGGCCATGAAACGGCTAGATCTGGTCGTTTTCGGCCATGGATCACAAATCCATGGCCGGAAATGTCTTTACCAACACACGACTAGTAAGATCCCACCCGTCTTGCCCCAATATGATGACTTTTGCCGACAACCAACGGTGGTGGCTAGCGGCCGACGGTGGTTTTGGGTGACTGGAGGTATTTTGTTAACTTTTAAACTTTTTTGTGGCTAGGGTATTTTAGTTATATTTTAAATGTAAAGGGTTTAGGTAATTGTTATTTGGTAGACATATGAGGGCAAATGTGTCCGAAATGATAAAAGATTAAGGGCAAAATAGGGTCAGAATTAAGATTACTTCGGTAATCTTATATTAACACCTCTTGGGAAAGTAATCTGATTACCCCTAATATTACCAACAGTAAACACTATTTATAATAAAAGATTACGTAATATTTTATTACTTGACAACCAAACGAGGGAATCTTGAAAATTAAACAAAGATTACAGGATTAATCTTATATCACCCCGAACCAAATGCAACCTTAGAGTTAACGACATGTTCCCACCCAAAAAATAGCCCATTGACAAATTCATACCCACCCACTTTTTCAATACCATTTCAGTACCCAAAACATAATTTTGTTAGTAATTTTTGTTGTCAGGAAGTGCAAAATAGTCAAAAGTCTATTATTAATGAGGGCAGAATGGTCAACAAACATTGGCTGCCGGAGAAGAAGAACGGTGCATAAGGATGGTGCATGTTAGCAGCGTCATAGTCAACAATTTTTACCATTTTTCGGCCAATCTCAGTGTTCAAAATCACTTCTGAGATTACCCATAGAATCCCCATCACCTCGTCTACAAATCTCAAGCCTCTATTTACCGTCATCACTCACCATTTCCCACCACCACCTCCATTCGCATGGCCAACTCTACAAAACCAATCGCCTCCATTTTCCAGTCGATTTCTTTGCCATAAATTCCCCCAGACACCACCATCACACTCCCCACAACCCACTCTACAAAACTCTTGCCTCCATCATCGTCCCTTGCTCGCCAATGGTCGACCGTGCACCGCATGACCTTTCGACTTCCAAGCCGATTTTTGATCATTTCCGATGTTGAAAATCGTCCCTGCCACCACCAATCGATTCCTTGGATCTTCCAATTCAAAAGCCCAAACATCCCAGATCCCGTTTACTCACCAATCGTCGGCGATTGAAGCTCCCCCACCCTAGGGTTTTTCGAGTTTTAATTGGATTGATTGGGATTGATTCATTTGATTTTTGTGTTTATTGGGTTGAAAGACAATTGAGGAATGTTTATTTGCAATATTTTGTGGTTGCCGACGCTCCCCAGCATCAACGGCAATTGCTAGCAAGGGAAGAGGCTAAGAAGAGGCCTTTTTCGTAAATCACTATATTTCCCACCCAAAACAGAGGGAAACATATTATTTGGGTAGTGAGAGGGTGGGAAGTGTCAATGTAACGTTTTTTGGGTGGGAACATGTCGTGAAGTCTTTAACTTAACCCCCGAGGTTTCCCTAATGGCTATAAACCCAAGGTATCACAAATAACTCTTAAACCCTCGGGTTTGTCAAATTTTGCGAAATCTCTGTCGGTAAAACTGTTGAAGGGTAAAATGGTAAGTTTAATATAAATAACATTAAGAAATTAACAGAAAAAAAAATAATGCATATCTTTAAAAAAAAACATAAAATTTTAAAAAATAAACCCTTTAACTTATTCAATTATCTTTCTTTTCTCCATCAAGTCACCACTCCAATCATCACCTTCACCATCTCAATGATCTACAGTCTCAAGCATGGTCATCGTTGAGACCATGAAATATTGTCTAGCCAAGTCACATGAGGACGCAAGCTAGGGCCACAAGTGTGGTCATCGGTAAGGTAGTGGTTCACGGTTTTACTTTGGCTACACAAAGTTGCGACTTTCAGCCTCAAGTATGGTCACTGGTAAGGCAAGAAAGCAGTTTCCTTACTAGGCAACTTGACTTGGTTGTTTGAATTTGTTTATGGGTTGATTTTATATTGGTTGATGCTTGACCCAAAAGCATCAAAGAATATGCAAGAGAATCATTCCAAAAGCTTCTAGAATGTTCCTTCACCAAAAAGGCAACATAATAAGGCTAGGATTCTATTGCTTGTATAATTAATCCTAGTTATCCATTTTAATGGACATGTCACATATACGAATCTGGACCTTCAGATTTACTTGTTAACTCTTGTATAAAGCTAGCTAGTCTTAGATTATTTTCATATTCTAAGCATTGTATTTAATTGAGAGCTTCTTTGTTCTTCATATTCTTATTTTTCTTAGAAAGTTTATGGGTTATTTAGGCTTACTTAGTGTCTAATCTCTTATTTGTGCACTAAAACCGAAACAATTCTTCTAGGGTCGTGACAATTAATATCAGAGCATTGGTTTTCATATCACATTTCAAAGCAAGAAATGATGATAGGAAGCGATGGCAACTCGAGTAATGCTAGCGTAGGCAAAAGGATGCTCACAAGCAAGGGAAGACATCGTGTGGCTATTTAAGATCTTGCAATGCATTAAGATCCACGGAAGCCAAGTCGGCTAAATTTGAGTCAGCGTTGGTGAATCATTCTGAGAAGCTAGATCAACTAGATCAATTTGCAAAGGAAGTTGACAACAAGTTGAAGGGGCTTGAAGACTCTATATTTGATGTTGTTAATAAGAATGTTGTAAAGAGTCGTTAGATGACCACCAACCTTATCAAAGCTTTCAAAGCAGACATGGTCGAAGCATTGGCCAAGCATTAAGCTCACCTTAAGGAGGTGAAGATGGGCTTGGGAGAGATAAAGACAAATTAGCTATTTACAAGAAGGCGATAGTAGCGAGACAAGTTATTTTTTCATCTATAGTTGCAACACCACGTGTTGAAACTCCTAGACCCAAGGAGCATAATGTGAAAAAGGATGTGAAAGAGTTAGACAATTAATTTGGCACATGAAGCGCTACTTCGATGCCACTATGTATCTTCATGACTTTGTTGTGAGTTGGTGGAAGAGGAT